TAATTTTTCCAAGTGTCTAGAAACCATTGAAATCACATTCATTTAAGGATGTATATAAACATATATATTTAGGTGTTTAATTTTTTGTTAACAACCCATTTGACATGAAGTTTCTTGTACATGAATAAATTAATGTGTTTCATTTAAGGTAAGCAAAAAACTGTCATCCAGATTGAGATGTTAAATGAGAGGAGGAAAGTTTGATTTCAAATTTTAACAAAGAATTTTTAATAAGTTAATTCAATACCAAAACATCTGACATGCTGGATGCATGAAGTTCACATCTTGGCTAGACACTGGCTTTGGATTTTTGTAGTTTTCCTTACTTCCATGTGAATCCTTGGATGGGGACTTGAAATAATTTATGAACATATTCTCCTGCATATCTGCAGTTGAATTTACTAAATGCATAAGTTAGCCCAAGAGGTGACAATATCTTCTTTAAGGGTATTTGTGAGATGTAATGTACAAGACAGTAGTTCCACCATATTTTAATCTTCATGAAAGGAACCTTCAAACATAACATGACATGCGTGAACTCCTAACATATGTTCATGGTTATGTTCCATGGGCGTCCATACNAAACAAAGTCTCCCCCCCACCATGCATGATAGTAGAACTTCCATTCAAACTGTCACTGCAAAATTTACCCAAATGAAAAATACTGACTTTACTGACGGAAATGTGTCAGTCATGATTCCAAAGAAAGTTCAGCGTTTCTGGGGTACTAGTACTGGGAACTGTAGTAGATGGAGTCTCTTCCCTGTCCCCTCTCTTAGTGTACTTTGCAGCATTTCCACAATGTTTCCCTTCTTTCATTTGCTTTGCATTTTTCCAGCAAATGATTTGTTGCCTTAGATGACTTGGGTTTCACTGTTCATGTAGCGTACAAAGACAACAGATGCTGAATATCAAAAAGTCTAAAACATGCAACAATTTTTTTCCAGTTCCTGAAATAGAAGTCATGCACTGAGTACCATCATATGAATCAGAACATACTTCCATTTACCTGCTTATCCATGTACTCTTACATAGCTGTGTTTGCAATCCTGCAGAGTGGCAATTAAGTCCAGTCAGTCCACCTGTCCATTTTTTGTTTGAAACAACTCAAGAACCACTGGGCAGATTCTAATTAAATTTCATATTGGAAAACTGTATGAGGAACTGTCATGTCATTTCAACGGTCATTTTGATCAGAAAATTTTCATGTTACATGAAACCTTATAGAATTTCTGCACAAATGTCAAGTGTAACTCATTTAATGTTTTAAATAAAAGTTTCAAAGACAATGAAACACATCTTATGTTCTGCACAATTATTCCATAAGTCTTATAGTTTCAGGGATAATTAAACAGACCAGTCACTATGCATACATCCCAAAATTTCTGCAGTCAACAGAACCATGATCTCCCATCACAAACAAAACTTGGAGTATCCATGTTTCTTTTATTTTTTATTACTTGTGCACTTCCCTGCTTTATTAGCGTGGATAATCGGAGCATATCATATGTGTATTGCTATTTCCTTGTACCACCTAACTATTTTGCATTTACAAAGCGAATTCAAAAGCATTTGGTCCTGTTAACACCTGGTGTACATATGTATGCTTTACTGGCCTGTTCCATTTTTTTTCTTCAATGTTTGATCTCTCTTGTTAGCTATCTCAACCACATCATCTTAAAATTCTACTGAGAAGGAAAAAAATATATCTTTTGTCATTCCACTTTGTTACACAAACACATCACTCCCAAGCTGACACATTCTCTGAAAGTCTTTATCTTGTCACCTCTGTGAGGATACTTCTAGTGCAGTAATGTTAACACACAGCAATGACAATATCAGATCATTAATTGCTGTATGAGTTACCCTTATACAGTGTCTGTTTACTTGTCCATATATCAGCTTCATTACTGCATCTGTACCATGTCCAACAATGGGGGAAATGTTGCAAATGGAGTTTTCTGTTTGGTCCGACCCAAAGCCAATAAGGACCAGTGAAGGCTGTGAGAGGCAGCTGAGTCTCCATCATATGCTGCATTGGTTGTGATATGATAGCCAGCCAGCAACAACAGAGGAAGAGGACATTGTTGGGATCTGATAATATGCATCAACTGGTGAAGACACAGTAGTCTCAGTGTGTGCTGTAGTGACTTCCAGAGTGGGTAGATCTGTGAAACCACTATAGTTACATGTACTTATGATGGCTGAGTCTTCAATAAATCCAACCATCAATCCATACCCTATGTATAGTTATTAACGCATGACAGTATGTAAGCTCCACCAATACTGGGCATCAGGCATTTGGATTCTACCCATGTGAAATAAAAGACCCAAACTAATTCAATTTCAGCAATGATAACATCTTCAAATTAATTTATTCTTGACTAAACTTCAGAAAGAAATACTTCTTCAGAATAAGTATTAACTCTTTGATTAACAGTTTGTAGAACTCATCACTGGCAAACTTATGAAAAAGTGTATGTTTCTTACCACCAATAATACCAGTATTTAGATACACCAGTAAAATCAATTTTTTTAAGAATCTGCAATTCATCATGCCAAACATAGCCTGAGTTACTTTTCACATAGGAGAAGAAATGGCTGCATTTCTTGTAGATGAGCCATTTTCATTCTCAGATCTTGACTTCTTTGTCACTGGAATTTGCCATCAGTACTGTAGCACATTGTTTAAAACTGCATTGCTCCTGTAACGTTTTACTGAAGCATGTCATGGGAGATTTGCTGTAAAAGACACTGAGTTCCAAGAATTGTAAATTTTAACTCCCATTATTTCTAGATATAAAAAAGTGTGGAATTAAAAACCAAAACCATGCATAAATAACTTGAACCCTAGTCTGAGTGCCATCATAGTGAGATAAGTTAATTGCAGCACCACAATGACATGCAAATTAGTCTTCAGCACCTTGAACAAGACATGTGACACATGTGCATATCACATGACAGCAAATCTGTTAATCATGCTTTGAATTTCCTTAACATTTCAAGAAATTAATTATTTATAATTCTTGGACTTGATATTAGATATTTAATTTATTCAACTATCATATCAAACCTCTGCATCAAATAACTTTTTAAGTTGACAACAACATTTCAAACTGAAGATACAGTGAGACTTGAGCATTTAAAGGTGGTAAAGATTCATATTGTGACATTCTAAATTATAACACTATGTAGTCTGGTAGGTGGTTATCAATGTCTTGGAAGAACATACAGCCTCCATCTTCAATTCTACTCTGAAGACAGAAGCAGAATGCTCCTCTTAAATTTTGGTAACCACCTAAAAGTTTACAGTGTCATAACCCATAAGACAACAGTGTGATACGGCACTGTAAATACTGAATAAATAGCTCCTGTTATACAATTGCCTGCAACTAGCATAAAGCCATTCACAAACATCTCAGTAATTTGTTGGATTTGAGGTGCTCACAGTTTTGGCTATGGTGAGTTCCTCTTATAGGATATAACTCCTTGTCTCATTACTTCCTAAAAATAAATTAAAGTTTATGCACTCAGATGGCAAGATTTCCTTGGACAGCATCTTTAAGCCTGTTGCACAGAAGAAAAATTGAAAGAGGGGATTTATGCATAAAGAAACAAAATCATAAGTATCAACAACTTCTGTAATCACTAACTACACATTTTCATCTAAAGATGCCTCCATTTACAAAATGCCATGTATTTGATAATTACACACACATTTATTCCTCTGACATTTTATGATATACGTGGTGTGTTCAAAAAGTATTGAACCTTCTTTTTTCCCGCGTAAACCAATGAAGCGCGGGAGGCTCCCTTCGGTGGAGATGTGGAGGGGACATTCATGCGGAGTCATGAATTTTTTCCCGTCCACAGAAAGCGTCAGTCGCTGGCAGTCAGCCTATGAGTGAGGATGTGCAGTGAGCGCTCGTCAGATTCCAGTAAGGTGTAAAATGACAGAACAACATGAGTAGCGATACTGCATCAAATTTTGCCAAAAGCTTGGTGATACCCAAGTGGAAACCATTCGAAAGATTCAACAGGCTTTTGGGGACGATGCCATGAGCAACTCACAGATAAAGGAGTGGTACAACCGCTTCAAAGATGGCCACACATCAGTGGACGGCGAACCGCGTTCAGGCAGACCCTCAACAAGATGAAATGAGAATGTCATTGAGCAAGTGCAGACTTTGGTCATGGAGGACCGTCGTATCACAGCCTGAGAACTTGCGAATGAGATACAGGTAAGCACTGGATCGGTACATTCAATTTTGACCAAGGATTTGGGCATGAGGAGACTGTCCGCGAAATTCATACCGAAACTGCTAACAATGGAGCAGAAGCAACGCCGTCTGGAAATCGCACAGGACATGCTGGACAATGCAAACAGTAACCCCAACTTTCTGAACACTGTGATCACAGGTGATGAGTCATGGGTTTATGGGTACGACCCGAAAATCAAGATGCAGTCGTCACAGTGGAAACATCTGACATCCCTGAGGTCAACAAAAGCATGGCAGGTCCGCAGCAATGTCAAGGTCATGTTGGCCATTTTCTTCGACTCCCGTGGGGTTGTGAATCATGAGTACGCACCACAAGGCCAAACCATCACAAAGGAATACTACCAGGAGGTCCTTTGTCGCCTTCGTGATGCTGTGCGGTGCAACTACCAGATCTGTGGGCAGCAAAAACTTGGCAGCTCCATCATGATAACACACCCGCCCATTCTGCACATCTGATTCAGACTTTCGTCGCCAAACACAACATCCCTGTGGTTCGTCAGGCTACCTACTCCCCCGACATGGCTCCGTGTGACTTTTGGCTATTTCCCAAGCTGAAAATGCCACTGAAAGGAACCCGATTTGAGTCAAGAGAAGACATCACGCGGAATGCGACGGCCCAGCTGATCACCATTCCAAAAGACGCGTTCCAGAAGTGTTTCCAACAATGGCGGAAGCACTGGGAGAAGTGTGTGCATTACCAAGGAGACTACTTTGAAGGGGATTAGGGTTTTGTATCTCCAAATCAATAAATGTATTTCTGCCGACTAAAGGTTCAATAATTTTTGAACACACCATGTACAGTATATGTACAAACAAAATTTACCTTATCTACAGAAAAATATCACAATCTTTTTTTCCGTTGTCTGTACCACCTTTAGTCAAAATTAAAAAATATATTATATATGCAAGAATGACATTAAAAATAATGCCATCAAACAAATTATGACACACAATTCTAGGAATGTGACAGTCTGGTAACCTACAGTCACCAAAATTTAACAAAGTGTAAAACGTTTTAATCAATAAAACACAGTATAAAAACGAAGACCACACCAGAATAACAAGGCAAGTAATGCATTTCATAGAAGTACTTGCAAAACTGGACAATGAAAAGTTAAAGACAGTGACATTTTACAGGTACTAGACCAAACTCTTCCCTAGACCACAGAGATTGATGTTTGTAAATTCTCCACATTCAACAACCATCATTCCAGAAATAGGAACCTACTGAGGCACTTATGTCCAATACTTTTTTACGTGGATTTATATGCTTTTATATTTAATATTTCTAGAAACCAGTGAGAGCACTGCATACAAAGGGCATGATGCACTTCTCAAATTATATCACACTCAAGCATAGGAAAGGCATATTTTATACCAAACACAAGTTGTTTTCTGTGACAAATACTGATGAAGTCCATTGTAATAATATAAATCCTACTACCTTTTCTGTAATTTTTGGATTTTGAAAGATTACAGGCAGAGTCTTAATTCACATTAATAGGTTTCTTTTGTTCAAATTACATACCACATCTATGCTGATTCAGTTTTCATGTATGGGACATATGGACCAAAAGGAACAGTAAAATCTATAATACTACATCAATCACAAACATTACTGGATTAATATCATATAGATATATAATATATATCCATAATAGTCATATGACTTGGTGAATATGAGAACACTGACATCAAAATAATGCCACTCTCTCAAAAACTGGAGAAATACCTGCCCCAGTAGATGATGTCTGCTGATCTAACAGTATTCACTGATCACTTCAAGTGATTTCTTTAAAGACCAACTGTGGCAAGGAAGCAGACTAAACCATGAGCCTGTACCAAGCCACTGGTAAAATGTCACAGTAAAAGGTTCACTCATTACATTCCAACAGCCACAGAAATGTAAATATGTATAAAGCATGGAACCACAGTTCATATCATGATTTTAATGGATATGGAATGGCAATGACCCATGCCAAACACAAAAGGTGCAACTGCAATATTTGGTGATCAACACTGTCTTTTTGTATTTCTTACAATCCTATGTGATGGGGCAGTACCATTTCAATATCCAGACTTGCCATCCTAAGTGTTTAAGGAATATTTATCTTAATTTGCTATATTAACCCAGGTTTAATATGGAAACAGGTATATAGGTGACAACATGAGTTAAACAGTCATATGTATATAACTCACCTGCATTTGCTGTGACAATTTTGAACTGAGGGGAATAGATGCCCTTGTATTTTTAATAGATTAGTAAGTGTAAGTCTAGCAACATCAGTCCTGACAAACACTGGAAAGCAGAGTGTCCAGTATTCATGAGACATCATCTACAGAGACAGATATTAGCTGTTGCACATGTCAGAAAATGTGCTGACATTAGTTTTGTTCTAACACGATCAACACCATCTGTCAAACACTTAAGAGTAACTACATTCTCTATAAATACAACATACACCACCACTACATTTCCTAGTGATCCACATTCTCTGTGATTAAAAATATCACAAACATGTATCAATTGACATAATTTATAAGATTATAATGATGATAAAAAATTAATTACAGGGAAATCTAAAACTGTGCCAACATTGAAATAATGTAGGCCACATAAAACATGATGGCCATGGATTGTGGATATAAATCAGTCACTAAAAAAATTAATCAATCATTTATAATGAAACATTTTATCACTTGATAAATGTGAAAGAATTGATATGGGGCATGCAAAATCATGTACTTCAGTCTGAACTTATGAATCAGAAATATGGATAAAGATGTAAAAAATACCAGTCAAATACCTGACACTGTACTAGAGGCAGTGAAGCAATAAATAAGACAAGTATACATAGAAAGAGAATAACTGTAATATGTTTGGAGGAAATATCATACAGCTAACTGAAACAATGGAATTTATGTTCTAAAGAGTATCATGATGTTGGGAATAATATTAGAAAAGGAAATAAATAAAGTAGCAGTCACTACTTTTTTAAATGAATTTATAGTGGTGGTGGGGGCATTAGAAGCAACAGTAGTAGTAGAAACAAAACTGGATTCACTATAGGGTCATTTTATCAAAGAAACTGGAAACCTCTAAACTTAATAAACAAAATGATTGGTACATTTGTTTAGAGAGGCAGAATCAAAATTACTGTGTTGTCACTGTTTCAAACTTGCTCCCAGGATTCCACACTGGAGCTACTAGAAAGAGATGAAGTCTTGCTTGAATCCCTCCTCAGTGGTGGCAGTTCAAAGTGCCATTGGTCATTCATGTTTACAGTGGTGTCCTGTTTAAGAGGTGGACGTGCTCGAATACCGTATGTTGTGGGACGCTTCTCTGGACTGTGGGATAACATCAACTGCAGCAACTCAAACTAAAAGATAATAAATTTTATCAGATAACTGTGTCAATATGAATGCTTTCTTACTTCCTTGGGTATCAATATCAGTCATAAAGCACAGTCATATCATACTACAAAACATTTACATCTCCTGTAATGCGTTTCAAGGTCTTGACTATATTGTCACCTGTTGGGTATGTCACACGACAAATAACTTCACGTAGGTCTCGGATTTGGCGAACACATATATTCTTGCACACTCAAATAAATAGTATCACTTCAACTGCACTCTGCGGCAGCTATCTTCCAACTGTCTCTCACCGTGGCTGGATCCTTCTGTTATCTATCTCTGGGAAAACGCTGCTTCGTTGATTCAGCAATTCCTATGCAATGGCTCTGTTATTGCGTTACCATGGAAGTAACCCTTCTGGATTCCAAACACGTGACAATATAGATTCTTTGATGGCTCATTGAGATGGTATTCTATAAAACCACAGATGAACTAACCAACTCTCTTATACAGAACCTGAAGGTTCAACACTCCTAAAAAGAAAGGCATATAGAATTTTGGCCACTTGTAAGATCAAGTAGGAGATGTAAGGATAAGATTGATCTTAAGGATATAAGTGAGAAAGACTGAAAAAAAAAATTGTGAGATTTACCCCTTAGTTTGTTGCAAAAAAAGAAAACGAATTTTTAAACTGGCTCAGAATCATAATCAATGGCATGTTTTGGTAATAACAGTATGAAACCGTTAGTATCTCACACGAGTTCACCATTGACTGATATGGCAATACAATTTTCAAACATTATAGCACACTTCCAATATTTCACTCTACTGTTGAGAATAAATAGAACCAAATAAACACTTAATCTAGAATTTTATCTTTGTACTAGATGTAAAGTCCACAATATACACGATACTGGGCAGGTTTTAATACTGTATACAGTATGCCTTACTGTCATAAATCCCATGACAGGTCAACTGGAAAGTACACAGACCCTGTCACCATCTGCTGTTTATAAGACACCAAATTACTTATAATCCACAGAGTAAGTTAGATCCAGGCACACAACTATCAGGTAAAAAACTGTATGCAAGGGATTTTATGTGTTCTTACCTCCTGCTGGAACTGCTGCTGAAAATGTGCTGGGAACTTGTTACTTCTAAGATCCATGAGAGTGCAGCTCCGTTCCATATCTGTACCAAATGGTACTAATAATTCAAACAATATAACACCAAGAGAGTAGATATCTACCTTGTAGTTATATGGAAGACTCTGTGCCTGATAATAGAAAAATATGTCAGTTATAATGCTGAAAGTAATATGGTCATGGGAGACATCCAGAGTCAACAATGTGCTACTGCATACAAGGTGTGGCAATAAAGAACCCGGATTACTTTTATGACTCATTTCCGGCCACGTCATTGACGAAGAGGAGGGTAGGGCATTGACCCTTGGACTTCCCTCTACCGTCACACAAAGTTTCATTCACGTGCATCGGTTAGTCTGGCCGCGACCATTGTTAGAAGCGGATCGTGTTTCTGAGCTCCGTCGGAATAATGCTGAGTGCTAATGCAGAACAACGTGCTAACATCAAATTCCTCACAAAACTTGGAAAATCTGCCACTGAAACTTACAATTTGTTGACAGAAGTATATGGTGATCAGTGTCTATCTCGCACGCAAGTTTTCGAGTGGTTTAAGAAGTTTATGGAGGGTAGGAAAAACGTCGGGAACGATCCAAAATCGGGCCGTCCTCCCACTGCGAAAACTCCAGAGAATGTGGAGAAGGTCGCTAGAATTGTTCGAAGAGATCGTCGACTGAGCATTCGAGCAATTTCTGAACTCACGAAGATTTTTTTTTAATAAAGGGTTAGAGCATGAATCCGGTTTCTTTATTGCCACACCTTGTATTACCAAAAACATACTGCATAATTAAACAAGAAATACATCTCATTGCCATCTGATAACCATGCCCACTTCATTAGCTGAAAGCCTTTCTTTAAGTCCTTAATTCCACATATGATACTAACCATTGGTGCTAAACCTGAAAATAAATACAACAAAATAATTTTAAAAAGACAAGAGGAAGATGAGATGATGACAACTACAGTCACCTGAAGAAGGGAGCAGGGCTAAATCCTGAAACACCATGCATATCAAGTGTACTTCAGACAATAGGAATGTTCAACACAACTGTTGTGTAATGAATTATCACCACACACCTTTAAAAGATAATGGACTTCATTCATCAGTCACTATATAATGCCATAATACCTTGGCAAGAACTTGTTACCCTGTGACATGATGATGATAACTAACCTGTTCAGGGCTCATATACAACTGTGTGCCAACACGTGCTGTATGCTTTTCATCAGCATATTGCATAACACCTGCTTCAGGGCTAGGTGTTCTCTGTTCTCCATTGTTCTCTACCATAGCTGTCACCAGACCAAAATCACCAACTTTGATCTGACCATCCAGTGAAAAGAATATGTTTGATGGCTGTAAATAAAAGTGAGGTCTACATAATGTTGTGGCAATGAACGTCTTTGCTGTGTAATTATATAACACATATCAGTGTTTCTCAGCTGCCAGCCTGTGGACCAACACAGTCCATAGGAAATTTTTACCAGACCAAAACAGCTGGGAACAATACCTTGTCTTGCAGACTCTCTACAAATAGTGTGTACATGTAGTACAATATTTTATAATTTAATTATAATAAAGAATTGTCCGTATTGCATGGAAAGCAAACAACGTTGTTTGCATGCAATACAGACAATTCTTCTTAATGACGAGGCAGCATTACACAATTCATTAATTGCTACACCATGGGCCTCTCTTAAAATCTTCTATATAAAGTAATATCGAATTTCCCAATTGTCTATGGAAACGCACACAAAGTATATGCAATGACTGATTCAATGTTTTTGAAAACATCATTAATATTTTATCTTGTTATAATATTTCCAATTTTCAATTTTTATATAATCTGAACATTTGTATTTTTACATAAGCAATTTTAAAATTGTACGATTAATAGTGTTATATCCATTTTATTGTTGCAGTTAAATGGTAGATTTTTTTTTATATGTATTTGCCTGATGATGGCCGATAGTGGCCGAAACATGTAGCAAAGCCACAGCTGAATGCTGACTTTGATGTTTTACTATTTGCTGTGTTGTGTTGGTTCATTAAAGAGCTGTATATTGTAGCACAGCAGGATGCATGAAATTAAGATTAATAAACATCAATACTTACATAATTATGGCACAGAAGTTATGTATTATTGATCAGTAGTAGAGTATGGGTTAAGAAATACTGTCATATGTGCTGGCAAACACAACAATATACGTATAAGCTGCCCCATTGTTTAAGTTGCAAATATTTTGAAGGGGGAAAAAATCTGGTGAATATACAGCACTTTATTAATTCCAGTTCAGTCTGATGGGTAAAGATAGCCATGGTTAAACAGACTAACAACGAATTTCAGTTCAAAATCAAAAGAGTCTATTGACTAAACACACATAAAAATTGTATGCATATATATCAATTTCTCATACCGCACCTAGTAAAAACTGTGATATCAGATACGTCTGAGACCAAACAGTTACTGGATAGTAGAACATTATACCTAGTGTTTATCTTAGTGTACCTAGTAACCTCATGGACAGACCTAACCATTTAATTTGTCACATGATATCCTGTCTTATATTCTTTGCCGTACTTCCTATTTCCTTTTCGTAACTATTCACTTAACATGGTACATACATGAATCCCCTCCTCCAAAAAACCAGGAGGACACAAATATTTCACTCTTGTAATCACTGTATTCACAGTTAGTCAATTTCCAGTTAACAGAGCTTCCTGGGTCACCTAGTGCCAGATATTGCACCCTTTACTGTATTATGATCTGCAAAAGTCACTCCACAACGGGCCAATATCTGTTACAGCAAACATGAAATATATCATAGGTCATCACTGGCAATGAATGTGTTAATAGTAGTTATTCATATTATAATAAAAATACACATCAATGAAGCATGAAAGAAAAATTCTCAGAACACCACTACATAGAAATTACCTGTAATAAATATTAAAATTGACTTAATCAATAATTCAAAATGATTTGCTCATTATCTCATGGGAATACTGTCACTTCTCACAGTGCACACAAATACTGACTTATCACATTCTGGGAATGTATTGAACTAACATCACAGTCCCTTGGTGTTAACATGTGATAAATAAAGAAAGCACTGTTGGCTGGAAAAATAATCTTTCACTCTTAAAAATACAGTATTAGTAAACATTCATACTTGGTATGTTGCAACCTAAAGTTTCGCATGATCGGGTCTTGCATTTTCTGCACCAGTCATAGTTAGTACATGAGTCTGTAACATGTTGCCAATAAATTTCACACATAAAGCTGCAATGATTTATAAGTCACTGTCATCAGAACACAATATTTTGCATGCTTGCCCGTATTACTTTCCAGTTCAAATTACCTCTACAAACGGTTTGTACTATTAAAAACAGAATATTTTTCAAGCCTTCACTGAATGGCTCATACGCTGTTCCCACTTCAGAAGTTCACACAGCTGCCATGTTGGGATTGCTGTTGACAGTTAATATGTATCAGAAAGGGAGGCCTTGAATGCTTTGTTTCACACACTTTCATGAAAACTGTCATTTATTATTTGTAATACTGATGAGAGAAGCTAAATTAGTAGACAAAGGGACACACAAAGCTTGCTGAGCGGGTTCTGAAAAAGGAATGAATGTGCGGGGAGGAGTAAACGTGTTGCCTGGAAATGCAGACAGATATTTCCTGCAAAATGGATGGGTGGTGGCTGTTCACACAACAGAGGAACTACTAAACATACCTCCTGGGGAACAGATACAGAAGCAGGTTTCCCTTCCAATGGCTAGGTAAACATTTGTTCTCACATGAACAGTGGGGTCATTTTCATGACAATGGATAGCTGAACTGTTTGACTCTCTGTCCCCTATTTGATATGCCAAGCAAATATATAGTATCAGCGGTAGCAGTTGTGAAGGAGAACTGATTCGGCAGTGAATGAGCATGCTTTCAGAGGTAAGCAGAATTTGAGAAGACTAAAGGCTAGGCAACAGTGAAAGATTCATTATCCAGAAGGAGTTAAATGTGTGAACTGTTATAATCCAGTGTAATTTTAACATTCATTCATTCATCCATCAGTAATCTGTCAAAGACGACAGGTCCATAGGCTATTCCAAAACAGTTCCTCCACTTAATGCGATCTAGAGCTTTCTCCTTCAAATGAAAATATCCTCTTCTGTCGCCAAAGTCATCCAGCATCTTCTTACGTCTTCTTCCTCGTCTTCTGGTCACTTATATCCGCCCCTCTATCTTTCCTTCAATAACTTCTTTTAGAAGGCAGTTACTGCGTATGACCAATCCAATTAGCCTTCCGTTTTCTTATTTCGTGTAGGGTATTCCTCTGCTCACTGACTCTAGTTAGTTAGTTAGTTAGTTAGTTATTGGAGAGGGTGGGTTTCCCCATGCACTTAGACCTGTATTGGTCCATTGTGCTTCCCTCTATGATTTCTACCAGTCTCTATATCCTACCGGTACTGGTGCTTACCATCAGTCCCGCCCTGCCAGCGAGACCGGCTCTACTAGCTGAAAGGTATCTATTATGCTTCCCCCATCTACCAGAGGTATTAGAGACTGCTGTTGGGCGGAAAACGTCTGTAATTTGGCTCCGTAACATCCTTTGGAGATATGAGGTTCTTTTACGTGCCGTAAAGCTACAACACGGGACCCACGGCTTACAAGGTGTGGCAATAAAGAACCCGGATTACTTTTATGACTCATTTCCGGCCACGTCATTGACGAAGAGGAGGGTAGGGCATTGACCCTTGGACTTCCCTCTACCGTCACACAAAGTTTCATTCACGTGCATCGGTTAGTCTGGCCGCGACCATTGTTAGAAGCGGATCGTGTTTCTGAGCTCCGTCGGAATAATGCTGAGTGCTAATGCAGAACAACGTGCTAACATCAAATTCCTCACAAAACTTG